GGGGGGGGCATTGGAAATTTTAAAAACTTGGAGGGGAGACATCGAAATTTACCGATAACCTCAACAGGGGCCCTGTAAAAATATCATCATTCATCCCCCTCCCTCGGTGTAATAAATGTACTTTCCCTAGCTAGTTCTTGTTTGTGATCTTTGTCGGAGATATTGAAATAAAAATTTTTCCCTAAGTATCGGAAATACTCTCCTATTCTTGGTAGGTATTGGATTGATTTTGTCAGACTTTTCTTAATGCCGATGTACTACATTTGTTGACTCGAGTAATAATGTTTGACCATTGACACCAGATTGAGAAGTGATTTAAAAGGTGCTGATCTTTGCTCTCTTGACCCCTTGTAACGGCTGCATTGTCGGCAAACTGGAACAAATGTATTCAATTTAAAAATTTGGTCATGAAACCAAATTGGCGGTATTTATCAGCTTTAATGTGTTGAATAAAGGTGTTGAAACACATATTGAAAAGTAACAGACTAAGACAGTCTCCTTTAGAGAGTAAAAAAACCAATTTTTTCTGGCAAGGGTGATTCAGGAGCAATTGTCTTCGATGATAAAAACTGTGTGTGTGGAAGTAAAGTAAAGGACAAGACAGTCTCCTTTGGAGAGTAAAAAAACAATTTTTTCTTTTTTAAATAAACATATTTTAATATTAAAGATATAACAATTGCCCAAGAGCTTTTAGCTCATCAAGGGGCTCTTGTTCTATTTACAGGAATTTGGTTGCAAGTAGGCGGTAAATATATTATGTCAAAGTCTAAAGTCAATATATTAAAGTCTCCTTTAGAAGTAAAACAAACCTTTTTTTCTGGTGAGGGTGATTCAGGAGCAATTGTCTTCGATGATAAAAACTATGCATGTGGAAGTAAAGTAAAGGACTAAGACAGTCTCCTTTCGAGAGTAAAAAAACAATTTTTTCTTAGAGTTTCCTTTAGAGGTAAAAAACATTTCTGGCAAGGGTGATTCAGGAGCATTTGTCTTCGATGATAAAAACTGTGTGTGTATGACAGACATTGTTTTAATTGCACCCATGCACTTGTGATTAACCTAGTTTTTGTTTAAAAATGCTGAAAAAATCAAAAGTTAGCCAATTGAAATAACAGCAATTTCTGTAACTTGCTACACCTAGTCAGTTGCTACTATATCGCAAACATCAGTCCTGATATATTGCATACTCAAACCAACCTGACCGTATAGCTCAGTTGGCAGAGCATTGGGCTAGTATTCCAAATGTCGTAGGTTCGAATCCAACCGTGGCCAGGCATATTTTTCAAGCCTTCCCGGTGTGGATATACACTCAGAGTAACATCAAACAAGCATCTTATTCACCTGGGTACATTACACCAACACAGCAAACATAATGATTATTAGATTACACTGATATTGAAGGAACTGTAGAGTAATTCCATGCCATTTCAACACAAAAAAAACTGATTTGACACCCACCCTCTCCAAATTTCTTTATATTTCGCAGGCAGTTATGCTCAGACAGCCAGCTTTTCTACACCATTTCAACAACGAGCTGATGATATCCCGACTATAGCTGAGGCATAACTCCTTACATTTAAAGAAAAAATAGAATCGCAAATAGGAAAATTGTTGACTAAAGTGTCTGAACAAAATCATATTATTGACACAAATAAACAAGAGCTGTGCCGATTAGGAAATGAGAATTTGAATTTAAAGTCACGCATTACCGACCTAGAGGAGAAAATGATGATTAAAGACTCGGCTTCCATAACCTTTTCAAGTCCCTCAAAGCCATCTTTACAAGATAAGAAGCCCTTTAACAGTCCTGACAATGTAAATCCCCAACACGATGGATCAACTAAAATAAATCACCCATCTGGTGCATTATCAACCCCAGTTAATGTAGATAACCTGCCCGCTGAGGAAAGTTTCCCTACAGTTATCATTGAAATAAAGAACAATGCCCTATTATCCACACAACAATCTAAGACTACAATCAACTCCTCTTTTCAGGCTAAGAATGTTTTAAACTATTTGCCCTTATGCGAAGATCTAAGTATAATCGAAGATGTTTCTGCAAACCTCACTTTTGACGAAAATGAATTAGATCAGCGTGAGCAGGATTTATCCGATGGGTGTCAACATTTCAAGCAACGTGGGAAGCAAGGCATATGTAGGAATTGCGACCGATCCTATGCAAAAACCGTGTTAAGCCTTGATGCCCTTAACCCTGACCAGGTGAATCCCCGATCGGATAGGTCAATCAGCGAGTCAAATCTAAAGCATTCTTCGTTCCCTCATCTTCCAGCCCCGAGACCCTCAAGTCTTAGACACGGTCAAGTTACAAACCCCTTAGGGTTTCGAAGGCACCATTGTAGCCGGTATCCTTTTTTAAAACGTTGTCGTGTCATTCCTTCGTATCGGACAGCCCACCGCCACCACTCTCTAGAGTGGTTGGCCCATCTCCACACAGTGGCCTGTTTGACGAGTCAGCAGCAGACAATATGATGAAAATACCTGTTAGAATCACTTCACGTCAGAGACCATCACGTCAGAGACTATCATATCAACTAACCATTAATAATTCTTCTAGTGTTAACAATAACTTGCAAAATAGAAATCTTGTTCGTGTTCCTTTGTCCAACCCTGCCTCTCCAAACGCTTCCGCACTCTCGTGGTCACTCACGTCGAAAACCACTAATGATACGGCCTCAGCCCATTTAACAAAAAAGTCAGATAACAGCCTCAGTACCCTTCCAGGTCTCAAACTGGTCCACCTAAACATCCGCTCTCTGAAAAATAACGCCCATTTTTTAGAATTACGTAAGTTTACCAAATTTAACAAAATTGACGTCCTTACAGTATCAGAGACATGGTTAAATACCTCCGTCACAAACAAGGAAATAGAAATCGAAGGTTATAAGCTACATCGTTTAGACCGACTGCACAAGAAAGGGGGCGGGGTATGTGCTTACATACGAAAAGATATTAAATCTCTTGTACTTAAAGACCTCAGTTATATCTCCGAGACGAATTTCCATCAATTATGGATCAAATTACAGCACAAAAAATCTAAATCACTGTTGGTCTGTGTCTCTTATCGACCCCCAGACAGCCCGCTTGACTGCTTCGAAAAATATTTTAAACCTAATTATGTTCATGCTCTGACGATGGGAAAGTTGATCATTCTTCTTGGAGACCTAAACTGCGATATGCTTAAGCCCACACCTGGATCAGCGTCTTTGATCAAGACGACAAAAGAACTCAACCTTAACCAGTTAATAAAATCACCAACAAGAATTACTGAATCCAGTCAGACCCTCGTCGACGTTATTTTCGTATCCTCGCCAAGACTAGTAGTCAACAGCGGCGTCATAGAAACCTGTATCAGCGATCATTTCCCTGTGTATGTATCACTAAAACTTAAAACCGACAAATCTCCACCAAACTATATCACTACCCGCAGCTACAATAAATACGACCCTGATTTGTTCGCGATCGATCTGGCATCCAACCGTGATCGTCTTGTTTCCATTTTCAGAATGGACAATGTTGATGAAAAACTAACCATTTTTAATGAAATATTTTTAAATACATTGGATAAACACGCCCCAGTAAAGACCATAAAAGTACGCGGAAAATCTTGCCCATTTATCACCCCGGAAATAAAAGCATCCATGATCAAAAGAGACCAGCTCCACAGTCTTTTCAGGAAAACACGTGATCATTATGATTGGCTTAATTTCAGAGAGGCCCGCAATTTTACAAAAACCGCACTTGTTAATGCACAGAAAGAATATGTACTGAAGGAAGTTCAGCAACACAGAAACAATACTGGGTCACTTTGGAAGGTAATTAAAGAAAATATAGCGTATAGGGAAAGAGAGTCAGTGGTCTACAGTAAGGAACCGAAATTAGTGGCCGAAGAGTTTAATCATTTCTTTTCCACCATCGGTGTGAATGCAGCAAAGAAAGCCTCAACACTAATACAAGATCCTAGTGTTTATCCAGCTCGGAATCTTTCTGACGTAAATCGCACAGATAACAGCTACCCTGAAGAAAATGATAGATTTAGTTTCACCCCAGTCTCTTGTTCAGAAATAAGGAACATCATATTAGCTATGCCGTCAAACAAATCACCCGGCAAAGACAAAGTGAGTATGCGTGTCATCAAACACAGCCTACCGGTAATTCTTGGGCCCCTCACCGATATCATTAGTTGCTCACTGTCGTCATCTTCGTTCCCTATAGCATGGAAAGAGGCAGAAGTTATCCCTTTGTTAAAGGATGGAAACCACGAAGAAGCATCAAATAACCGCCCACTTTCTCTCCTTACCTTTCTTTCGAAAATTTGTGAAAAAGTCGCCTTGAATCAATTTGGTTCGTATCTAATGAAGAACAAAAAATTGTCAACCCACCAGAGCGGGAACAAGAAACATCCCTCATGCGAAACATTGAATCTTTTGACCGGAGATACTATCCTAAAGGCCATGGATGGGAAATTGGTTACTGCACTGATTCTAATAGATCTATCTAAAGCTTTCGACAGTGTAAATCCTACTTTTCTCCTTACAAAACTTAGCAACGTCGGGGCTTCTCCAAGCGTTGTAAAATGGTTTGAGAGTTACTTGACCGGAAGAACTCAATCAGTCAGAATTGGATCAACTGTGTCTACTCCTCTCCCTGTTTCTTATGGTGTACCACAGGGTGCAATTTTATCACCTTTACTTTTTAGTATTTATACTAACGATCTGCCCTCATCAGTCCACCATAGTAAACTTGAATCGTACGTGGACGACTCC